AGTGCAATTACTATTACACGTTTTTTTGCGTAGTAAATCCATGCTGCAGTTATATTAATAGTATAGTTGTAGCACGAATGGGTCATCACAGAGAGGGAATCACAGAATGCCAGCGTAAAATAGCTGCTTCACACTGCTGTGATTCGTATGGTGCATATAGAGAACCGGAGACCCGTTTTACTGGAAACGGGACATTCCATCTTAGTAAATGCGTTGTTAGCATCTGCATTTTGATTCGTAGTCGAGGAATGAGATAGATAAAGGTTACTAGTTGGGGGGGAGGAAAAACTCTTTTTTTTTGAATTTTATAGATGTAGATGTCTATAGGCCACAGCAACCACTTACCATCCGGTGTATTATGTTTCCGTTTATTACCCTTATCCCATAAAAAACAAACTAATTCAGTCATCAACAACCTAGGCCAGTTCTAGGTTATTTATGAACTTGAAATTCGGCATTAAGGTAGATCATTAGACGTATAAAATGGAAAAAATCTGAAAACTACAAATTACATCCGTATTCTGTGTCGACAGGTGTTGAGAAAGTAAGTTATTCTCTTCCCAATAACTTTGTCAAATGATGATTTAATGTATTATATAAGATATAGTTTCTTAAGTTATAAGATCTATAGGAATGTACAACGTTGTTGGAACTGCTATACAGCTTAGCGCCCATTCAGATCTCAACACTTTTATCTCACCTATAACCCCGAAAGTGTTGTTGTTGTTTGTACCGAACATAACCCCCTTTTTACATTTATCTTTTTTTTTTTTTGTTGGAATTTCGTATTACGTCGTAGTAAGTAGTAGCTTCGGGATTAAATGTTTGCCGTAATGTGTGACTAATAATGTGTGGATGGCTCAAAGTGTTTAACTTTTCCCATCCCAAAAATGTTATTCGTAGAGACAAAACTGCAAGTATGAAATAATAATAAGTATAAAATAAGTAAATATCATCTTCTTTATCTTCTATAGCAATCCGTAAATGTCTACTTCTGGATAAGGAGTAAGGACCTCTCCCGTTGTATGGAGGACTTAGCAGGTGGATAGACGATTGTAGTACCATAATAATACGTCTCGCATCTTTAACGCTGGCGTCCGTCGCTGGTCTGGATATTTTACAACAAGAAGTAAACGAAATAGTTATACTGCGGTCTTTGACAAGCCAAAGAAATTTTCTTGCGGAATAGACGCCTCTTATTATACCCATGTGATAATGGGGTAAACCACACGCAAAAAATATTATCATAATTAACAGAATCAGGCGTTACTTAGCGGAAATTAATTATATTAAAAATTTTAACATGATAAGATTCGCGTAATAACATAAAATGATGTGTCTTATAACAAGTTAATTTTTAAAATCCTTTAAAAATATTATCCACAATTTCACATTATTAATGGTCACTCTAGAATTTTACTTGAGTCTTATTTAACTTGAAAGTGATAAATTGTCCAGCAATTTAAAGTTTTTATCTTTTGGAATTGTAATAGCCATTTTATTCCGTCGCATTTAATTTTATACTTTATACTAGTAGATTTTTTTAATGACAGCATCTATTATAGTGGTGAGCGTGCCTGACTTAAGACTCGTGTTCTAATCCTAGAAAATTCACATTTACCTAAATCCTAAATAATAGTATTGTCTACCAACCTATTTCGACCTTAGAGGTGACAAACTTTTTTAACTAGCTGCAGGCGTCTTTGAACTGAGGTAGCCACTTGACATCTGTGGACTGTAGGTTCGCCAGTTACTGTTTACTCCATTATAACTACGCCAATTTGTTGAATACGATGCGCAAATACCGCAAAACATTGAAAATAACTTGTAACTTGTGCTTTTTTTTATAGAATAAGGGTCACGAGCGAGCACATAGTGACATTTATCATCGATTAGGAATCATAACGCAGATGCGTTGTCCCCCGTGAGGACTAAGATGGACTGCCTCATTTCCAGTATAACAAGGTCTCCGGATCTTTACACTCACCATACGGAACACAGCAGTATTAAGCTGCTATCTTACGCTGGTATTCTGTGGAAGCGTGGTCCTTCCCCGGTCGATCCGGGCCATCCGTGCTACAACCATATTAGCTGCAACGTGGCTCTACCACATATAGAATGGTACTATTGCATTGATTTCTTTTTGTATAACTCAATGTACTATAGAATGAATTGACGTTTCTTAACAAAGTACGTATCAATGAATTATTATTATTATTTTGGGGTATCTATATAGTTTTCTCATCTGGTTGGGTGCTATAAATATATAATTATAAATGAAAATGAAAAAATAAATATACATAAATATCAATAACATAAAATAAATATAAAATTACATAAATAAATAAAAGCCCAACCAGATGGAGGCCCTCGGCAGGGGAGACCAAACGGCCGAGGGTTAGGGGGAAAGGGAAAGAAACCGGCGGACGATGCGGGCGGTATCGAGGAGCACCGCCTTCTGCATTTGAACCTGGAGCGGTCCGCCACGTAGTCCCAGCCGCCTCAGATGACCCGAGAGGCTGACTGGGATTAGCCCGTTTGCAGAGACGACTACAGGAATAATTTCGGTCGGCAGACCACCCCACATGTCGGTCACCTCGTGAGCCAGGTCCAGATATTTTGTTTGCTTGTCTGTTTCGGCTTTCACGAGGTTCTCGTCATACGGAATGGTAATGTCGACCAAAAATATCCTTGACTGTGCCCGGTCCATCAGCACAATATCAGGCTTATTCGCAAGAATAGTCCTGTCTGTGATGATGGCCCGGTCCAATAGAGCCTGGCGCGATCATTTTCGAGCACGGCTTCCGGCAAGTACTTGTAATACGGCAATTTCCGATCCACGAGACCGTATTTCAGAGCGAGCTCCTGGTGTAGAATTCTGGCTACTAGGTTGTGCCTGTGCAAGTACTCAGAGTTAGAAAGCGCCGAACAACCGGAGATAACATGCCTAAGTGACTCACCGGGATGGCGACAAGCTCGACAGATGTCGACGGTGCCATCCTTTAGGATGTATCTCCGATAGTTGTTGGTCTTAATAACCTGATCCTGTATTGCACAGACAAAACCCTCGGTTTCCCCCGAAGAGATCACCAAAGCGTAGCCAGTGGAGGGAGGCTACTGTGTCTACGAAAGGCTCATGTAGAGCCTTGTAGAACCTCCCGTGGAGCTCCTTCTCCTTCCATACGGTCTCCCGGTCGGAAATGCTCTGCACTGCCGGGTCTTGCCATTGCTCGTTGGCTAAGGATAGAGGGGTAAGTCCTTTGTCACAAGAAATGACGTCCTTATAGAATGGATCATCCGATCTCGCCAGGAAGTAATCACGGAGGCTGCATACTTCGCGAATATGCATGGTGAGCGCGCTCAAGAAGCCACGACCACCATGCTTCCGCGGCAAGTACAGCCTCATTACCGACGATCTCGGATGATGCATCCTATGGGACGTCATTGTAGTGCGGACTTTTCTATCCAGGGCGTTAAGTTCAGTCTGAGTCCACCTGAGTATGCCAAAGGTATACATGAGGACAGGCATGACCCAGCCGTTATATGCGTGTGCCTTATTCACACCGGACAAAAGGCTGTTAAGCACTTTGGTCAAGCGTGCATAAAACACGTCGCAAATTGACTGTTTCATACAAGTCTCATCGATACCGATGTTTTGTGACATACCCAGGTATCGGTATGTTTCAGCCTCGGAAAGGGTCCTTAAGTTGACGGGTATAGATAAGTCTACGCCCTCAGAGTTAGCAACCCTTCCCCTTTCAACATGGAGGAAAGCACACTTATCCGTCCCCAGCTCCATTCCAATGGAATTGCTAAATTCACAAGTGATGTTTAGCAATTCCATAAGATGGGAGCGACTGGAGGCGAATAACTTGAGGTCATCCATATAGAAAAGGTGGGTCACTTTTGTCCCTCCTTTCCGTAGCTGAAATCCCCTCCCGGAGCCCTCCAGTAAGGTACTGAGAGGGTTCAGAGAGAGGCAGAACCAGATTGGACTCAGACAATCGCCCTGGAAGATACCCCTTCTTATCCTTATGTGGTTCTCCGCAGCCATCATCCGCTCGCCTAGATGACAAAGGATCGTACTCCACTGCCCCATACACTGCTCGAGGAAGTCTCTAACTGTACAGTCTATCTTGTACAGCTCGAGGACTCTCTTTAGCCATGTATGGGGCACCAAGTCGAATGCCTTTCTGTAGTCTATCCAGGCGGCGGAGAAGTTCCGACGGTTGCGTTTCACCACTTTGCCAATGACCGCGTCAATGAGGAGTGGTTCCTTGGTTCCACGACCACCGCCCCGACATCCATTTTGAGCGCGCGACATCACCTGATTTGAGTCCAGGTGACAAGTGATTCTCGCGCTCAAAATGGATGTTAGTGTCTTGTATATGGTCGGTAGACACGTGATGGGGCGGTATTTGCTCGGGTCTGTGGTACCCTGGTCTTTAGGAACCTCTAGGCCTCTTGAAACTGTCGGGCGAGCACAGAGTGACACACCATGAACCCCTTCAGCCAGTAGTGATGCAGCCCGTCAAGCCCCGGACTTTTCCAGTTCGGGGCCCTACGAACCGCCTCAGCTACGTCATCCGGCGTTATGATGACGGGGTCCATGGGCGTAATACCCGCACACTGACTCGCCACAACTTCCGTCCAAGGGCCCTCGCTGTGGTTTACGGGCTCTGACCACAGGCCGCGCCAGAATGCTACAGTGTCGGCCTGATTCGGTGCTGGACCCGTTCCACTTACCATTGGTCGCTCCAATGATTCATAGAGCCTCTTCTGATCACTCTGGAAGAGACGATTCTGGTTGAACCGTGTCGACCTCTCGGTATATCGCCGAATCCGCTTTCCCCAAGCAGCGATTCTCTGCTTCAGATCATCTATGCGCTCCGTCAGTTTTTGCGTTATATCCGGCTGGGACAAACTGACATTTGTCCCAGCAAACGCCATCCTGACGGTGCGCACAATTCTTGGCCTGTTGTTGCCTGATCTGAAGCATATCAGTCTGCCGATGAGAGCTCTAGCCTTTGCGATACGTTCCTTCTCCATGCTGGGATAGCGCTACTATGGCCAGTAGCGCGTCCAGCCGTGGAAACCTTGGCGCCTATGATACGGCAGACTGCCAGCGCGGCGCCAAAAAGAATTGAGTCCGTCTCGCAAAGGTCCCGGCTGGCTTCCAAATAGGTAACCAGCATTGGGTTCAGAGCCCTCACGACAGCCCGATTCCGCTTGCTTAGGGCTATGCGGGGAAGTTGCGGTCGATTTTCGAGAGGCGTACTGCGCGTTTCCACAATCGCCTCTTCCAATATACTCCTCATATGCTCTAATTCCAGTTCCTGGGCGACTGTTCCATCATCGTTTGAATCAACCACAACTGGGGTATTCACGGCGGCATCCACGTTTGCGGGTTGCTCTACCATTTGTGGCGCCGCATCCTCAGCCGTAGCATTCTCATCCGACGAGGGAACAGCCTCACGTCGTAGCCGTGCGAGTTCGGCGACATCAAATATATTTGAGCGCAAGATATACCGAACTCGGTCTGCCAGGTTTTGCTCTGTGACGATTAAAGATGGCTCCAGCTCAGCAAAAAGACGATGCATCCTAGCCCGATACGCCAAACATCCAGTTTCTTCCCCTTTTGCCCTAAAGTACGCCCGCAGTGCGTTTGCATTCATTTCTTGTGACCAACGCATGCGACGTGCTCCACCAGCGGCGGGTGCCGCTTGCTGAGTCCGAGAAGACCCAGCCGACACCAAGCCTTCTGGTGGGGAATTATTATTATTATTATTATTATTTCATATTAAGTAATACCCTTTATCTATAAAAAAGCAAAGTAACAGCCTATTATGTACGCCCAATGCGTGTTGACGGACTTCATGCACTCGAATATTATTCACTTTCTCAGACATTCAAGTTTCTTCGCAATGATTTTATTATCATACCCACTAGATGGTACCCGGCGCAATAATGGTAATTGTGCAAACATCGTTTTAAATTTGGAATAGTTATATTGTTTAATTAGGAATGTTAATACATTGGGTGCGTTTGGCATAAAAAAGCGCTAGCAAGCGCTTATAAGCGCTGAAATACATTTCGGCCAGGACACGATTGCTACTTCAGTAGCGCTGACAATCCGCCATTTTGCTTATTTGTTTGTTTTGAAGTAGAGTTTATAAGTTGTTTTGGGCAATATTAGTTTTAAGTAATATAATGACATGAATAAAAATATACATGTTATTAACAACATATATTTAAATTAGGTTAGGTTCCCCGGTTAAAACTAACATCGTGTCCTGGAGGAAAATAGCTACTTACGATTTGACAGCGCTTACCGCTTACGATCGCCATTTTGCTTACAAGTGCTTGCTAGCGCTTTTTTCTGCCAAACGCACCCATTCATTATTGAAATTGAATGATATGCGAATTTCAAATAAATTTGTTGGTACGATACGCGCGCCACCTAGTGTAAGTTATTGTACTGTGCCTATAACCTTCGCGCAAGTACAAGCAAAAAGTTGACAAAGTTTTAGCGCAATCGGTTAAATGTAAGACGGCGCGTAAAATACGAACGAACAAACATTAATTTTTATGTAACAGATTATATTTTAAACAGACAGATAAAAAAGCAGCTACTGCAGTCCATGGACACCTGCAACAAACATCAAGCACAACAGGCAATTCGTTGTCCTCTGAGGACTAAGATGGAATGCCTCAGAGCCTGTAAATATACCGGCTCTCTAACTCCTCAAGCCCTTTACACAGTACTGCCAAAGAACAAACCACCAAAGAATTCCTTTCTTAATCCTGGTCACATCATCATCATGTGATGATGTTGATGAGATAGATATAGTATAATTTGTTATTCTCGTTATATTTCTCTTATTGATTAGTAGAGGTATATTGATATTTTTTCAATTATGTATAATTATGTAATTAATTCCGAACTGGCATTTAACCACAATAATATATTACAAAAGTGCTAAATACTGCTAAATATTTCATGGTTTTAAATATTGCCCTTACGTGAACTGAGATTGATTCTTTTATATTTGATTGATGCTAATTCTGTGCAGCTATACCTAGGCTGCATAGGAATATTTCCACTGTTCCTGTCATATTAAAATCTTTTTAATTGAAAACTCCTTGGTTTTAAAAATCGAATACCATTTATTTATTTAAAAACAGATTCTCGGTCTTGTCACAAGGTTTTGTCAAACATGTTTAGTCGTTGAGAAAATGGAATTGACTCGAGACAATTCAAGAGCGATGATTTATTATGACTTTCGAAGTGGTTTAACACAAAAACAGTGTGTTGACCGGCTGATTTCTGCATTTGGTGATGAAGCCCCATCAAAAACCACAATTTATCGCTGGTTTGCTGAATTTCAACGTGAACGTGTCAAGCTCAGTGATGATCCCCGTCAAGGTCGTCCAAAAACTGCAGTCACCCAAGAAAACGTTGATGCTGTGCGTAAGCTGATTGAGGAAGATCGACATGTGACATACCGCGAAATTCAACTTTAGACATTGGCATGAGTCAAATACAAATAATCTTGCATGAACCATTAGGTGTAAAAAAGTTGTTTTCCCGATGGATACCGCATTCGCTCTGTGAAGACCAAAAGTGGCTCGCGTTACTTGGTGCGTCAGAACTCTCGAAAGATTCCACGCAGGATCCTCAAATGCTGTATACAACATCGTATCAGGTGACGAATCCTGGATATACGCGTACGAACCCGAAACAAAAAACCAGTCACGAGGGACAAAGAACGGTTAATGCAAAATGGTATGCTAGCATTTGTTTGCCACAGGTCGTTTCTGAACTCCGTAAAGAGAACTGCAACCGCCGCATCATCCTCCATCGCGACAATAGGAGTTCTCACACCGCACACAGAACAAAAGAGTTTTTAGAGCAAGAAAACATAGAATTATTAGACCATCCGCCGTAAAGCCCCGACCTAAGCCCTAATGATTTCTATACTTTCCCTAAAATAAAGAATAAATTGCGTGGACAGAGATTTTCATCACCTGAAGAAGCTGTGGACGCCTACAAAACGGCCATTTTGAAGACCCCAACTTCCAAATGGAATGGTTGCTTCAATGATTGGTTCCATCATATGGAAAAATGTGTCAAAATTCGCAGAGAATACTTCGAAAAGCAATAAATACATTTTTAAATAGTAATGTCGTGTCACTTCCTTGATTCCCGAAATTTTCAGTGCCACCCTCGTATCGTGATTGTAGCACCAATGGGTCGGCTCGACAGTGTAGGAGCACGCTCTCACAGAATACCACTGTAAAATAAGAGCTTAACGCTGTTGTGTTTCGTATGGTGAGTGTAGAGAACCGGAGACACTTTTTACTGGAAACGAGGCATTCCATCGTAGTCCTCACGGGTGACAACGCATCTGCATTTTGATTCTTAATTGAAGATCATCCACAGCATCCACTTACCATCTTGTGGACTCTTAGCTCATTTATCACCCCATTCTATAAAAGTAAGGTTATTCTGGTGTTGATATAAATAAAGAATACGTACTGGTACAATAAAACAAATCAACAATACACATCCTATGCGGTGAAGACCACCGAGGTGTTTTTAATAATTTCTTTTTCTTTCTTTTTTTCTTTATTTCTTTTTAAAAAACGTTACCCCCGCACTAGGATTTTCTCCTGTATTGTGAAGGAAGTTTACAAATATAAATTGCACAAGGACAAACATCCAGACCCGAAACAATTATTTGTAGGCCATACAAATACTTGTTCCGTGCGGGATTCGATCCCGCGGCCCCCAGCGCAGCCACTCATTGCTAAACCGCTGCACCACGGAGTCGTTTTGAATAATTAATTAAAATAATTCTGTAAGTAATATTACTCCAAACATTTACAGTAAACATATCCTCTAGGGTGTCTTGCTGGCTCTAGACAGAGCTTTTTCCAAACTACTGGTTAAAATTACTTTCGATAAGTATCTTTATATTATATAAAATTCTTTTTTTCTTTCTTTTTTATAGAACCCCCTCGCAAACGAGCATGTGGCTCACCCGAAGGTAAGTGACTACCGCCGCCCATGGACAACCGCAACACCAGGGAAACTGCAGGTGCGTTGCCGTCCTTTTAGAAAGGAGTAAACTCTTTTCTTGAAGGTTCGTATCGTCCGGAATAATCGCCGGTAGCAAACAATTCCACAGAGATGTTGTACGATGAAGAAAACTGCCAGTAAAACGCATAGTGGTGGACCGCCAAGCATCCAGTTGGTGATATTACGTGTGTTTGTTACTAGAAAATCTTTTTAAACAGTAGGCCGATTTTGATGACAATTTTGTGTGTGTTTGAGTACCTCTCTGAATAGTTAGGTTCATAATATGACCCGGTAGGTTACGCTGTTGTAGAAATCCAATTAATCTAAGAAATAATTTAGAATCATTTTATTGAATCATCATAATACATAATGTGTTAATTCTATGACACACAAGTTTCCTCAAGGCCAGAGTCAGAGAAGTACTATTATTTATTCTGTGATCAGAGGCTAAGGCTTCGCAGTAAGTTATAAAGATTGCGTGCAACCTGCTATATAACACATATAGTTGATTTGCCACGTGCTCGTCAGTGAAGGAGAACATCTTGGAGAAATTTTCATGACTAAGAAATAAATAAAAATAAATACATGTGAAGTCTGTCAATACGCATTGTGGCGTCAGGGGCAAAAAGGGAAATTAAGTTTGACTTTGTATAAACGATACGAATTACGATACTGGTACTTTCAAATTACTCATCTCAATACTACGTCGAATAGGTTGTAAGTGTGACGTAAAATTATTCAGTTTGCAATACACGAGGTATTGAAGTAGGTCATGAAGTAGTACGAGGAATTATTAAACAAATACTAGGACTACATACGTTTAAAGGAGTGGTAGCTGAGGGGATCGCCCTAAAATTTTATAGTACTCGAGCGAGCCGAGTCAAATATAAATATAAAATGTAACGCAATTTTAGGTATCAATTAACCACTTGCGGCGGTGGAGAAAAAAACATCGTGAAGTAACTTGCAGATTTGGGAAATTTGCAGTCGCACAGCTGGGCACTCGCCTCTTTCTGAGAGAGATTATTAACCGAGATTAAGAATTGATGGCTCCGTAGCGCACAGGCTTAGCAATGAATGGCTGCGCTGGGGGCCTCGGGTTCGAAACCTGCACGGAACAAATATTTGTATGGCCTACAAATTCGGGTTCGGTTCCGGGTTTGAATGTTTGTCCTTGAGCAATTTATGTATGTAAACTGCCTCCACGTTACAGGATAAAATCTTAGTGTGAGGGTAACATTTTTTAAATAATATAAAAAAGTATAATAATTATCTGTTTCGATAGAAAGTAATTAATTAAATGAAAAATTATGGTAATCGGTCGCTAATAAGCATATGACAAAATGACTTCATACAAAAATTACCCGCAACATAGTTCTTTCCAAAATGATTCATATTAGTACAATGACGATGTAAAAAACTAGGTCAGTTCGTAACTTTCAAAGAAAATTATGTTGTGATGTTCTACCTGTCCACCGCAAAACTGGTGCGTAAATCACAAATCATAACTTACTTTAC